ACTTCAGTAGCCTTGGGGAACTTTGAAGTACGGGGCTCACCACCATCACCATCATCACCATTATCACCATCACCATCACCAGTATCATCACCATCATCATCATTGCCACCATCACCATCGCCACCACCACCATCACTATTATCGCTATTACTACCATCACCACTATCAGCACCATCACTATCACCATCACCAGCACCACCATCACCATCACCACCACCACCACCACCACCATCACCACCATCACCATCACCACCACCATCACCATCACCATCACCGTCACCGTCACCATCACCATCACCATCACCACCACCATCACCACCACCATCACCACCATCACCATCACCACCACCATCACCATCACCATCACCACCATCATCACCACTGTCACTGTCACTGTCACCGTCACCGTCACCATCACCACCATCTCCTCTATACTTCCTGTCTCCTTGTCTCTGCCTATGCAGATGGAATAGGAGTCAACCTGACCATGGCTGTTGGGTGGGCAGCAAATGAGCAGTATCCCAGAGGATGAAAGTGGGCCCTGCCATTCAAGGAGGGGGCTGACAGGGGCAGCAAGGGGAGGCGATGCCACAGAGAAGCAGTCATAGGAGAGAGGCAGGGCAGCGGGATGGCAGGGGAACAGAGTATGACCAGCGTATGACCTGGTCCAGAGCCTGGGGCCTAGAGGGGCCTCTTAAACTCGGGGCAGGGAGCTGAGTGCATGGGTGGGGCTTCCCAGGCACTGTGCAGGCCTTTCGGATGTTCTGGGGCCCGACTCAGGTGGGACGAGGGGAAATTGGGGCTTGTTGTTCCAAGCAGGGTGGGGTGCCCTGCACAGAGCAGGAAGTGAGGGAAAAACCCTTGGGCTTCTTCCGGGCCGAGCAGCTCCCTCCAGGGCCCGCAGCCCACACCTATGGCAGCAGCACAGGGGATGAAAGTGGTGACACCCGCCACGCAAGTCACACTTCAGTGGTGCTCAAAGAGGATGAGTCAGCAGAACTTAATTAAGCCTGCACCATTTAACACATCAATCATAAGAAGCACACAATTTACACAGGTGAACAGGCTGCCTAATTATACAGCAGGCCTCGCGCCTGCTGCCTTGTGATCGCTGCTTCTCTGCAGGCTGCTGAGCAGCCTGGCTGGGCACGAGGACCCTGCACTAACTGGGCTCGACCCTGCGCCCTTTTGCCGGGTCACTTCCTGATGCATGCAGGTGTGTGGCCTCCTCTCTGGAGTCCTGGCTTTCTAGGGCTCCCTTCTGCACACATGGAGGGAGGAAGCTCCATTGTGCTCTTCCGAGGCACCCTCCAGGTGTCATTTGTCCCTTTCCATCGCTTGTTTCTGCGCCTTCTGTCCTGCCTGACTACTTCCCACCTCCCAAGGTGGCCACAGCTTCTTTTCCACCTGTGCCTGAGTGTTTTCCTTGGTCTTTGTCTCCTGACCTCCTACTCATCCACCAAGGCTCCAATCAATCAAATGTTCCCTTCTCTCCAAGGTTTGTTGTAAGACTTCTAGTGGAAACACAATAGGTTTTGTTTGTTTTGAAAAGAAAAGTCAGAGAGCTAAATTCCAGCTTACAACAACCAGCCTCCATATTTGTAGAACATATTTGTAAACAAAGCCAGCTCAGTCTTTGTGACACAGTATTCACAGTGATGACTACAGGATGGTGACATGGTGAAGTTGGTTACATTTTCCCTTTCCCTTTCATTTAATTGCAATTTTTAAATAATAAACATGGATTTTTGTGTAAATAAACAACAAAAAGAAACCAGCGGTGTGGGAAGAGAGAATAGAGGGAGAAACAGCCAGGAGGAGATGCTAGAGTCCCAGGCTGGATTTGGGGTGCTGCCTGGGTACTGGCCTGGAGCTGCAGTCTCTTGGTGGCAGCTTGTAAGGCAGTGCTGTGTGAGGCTGGGAGGCTTGGGCTCTGCCCTCACTGGTGCATAGGCACACAGACCAAGGTTCTGGGTCTGGCACACTTGCTCCTCAGCCTCCCTCTCTCCTGTGATGTTGTTCGGTGACACTAGCATCCAGGAGCTGTGGTGGGGCTTCTATAGGACTGTTTCTTCCTGTTCCTCCTGCTGTAGCCCTGATGTGTCACCTGCAGCCCCCATCTCCAAGGCCACACCCCTCTGCGGTCCTCCCGCAGGCCTTGGAGTCCATGTTCCCTTCTCTGTGTCTATAACTCCTTGTCTAGCTGGTGACTGAGTCATGACTCATGGCTTCACAACAGGGGCGCAGGTCTTGGAGGCTTACACTTGAGGGGAGGCACACACCATGGGCCTGTTCCCTCTGGCAATGCAATTGTATTTCAACAGTTCTGACTCTTTCTCTTGGAGTTGTGTGTGTGTGTATGATGTGTGTATGTGCATGTGTGTATGTGTATATATGCTTGTGTGTGCGCTTGTGTATGTGTGTGGCCCCCTACTCCCTCCAGCTGGGCAACACATAGACAACACCAGCTGTGTAGCTGGTGGATGTTTCAGAGTGTGACACAGGAAGTGTCACAGGAGTGACACATTCCTGCCACTGGAGGAATCCATACTTTGTCACCTGTCCTGCCCAGAATGCAGGGGAATTTCCTGCTGCGCTCTGCTAAAGGTTCGAGTGACAAAGCTGAGGAGTCACCAAAGGAGGGTTGTCCAGAGTGACAGGGCCTTGGGAACAGGGCCAAGAAATGTTGCTGTCTGACAAATGATTGACCCTGTCTGGAGAAGGGAGCCTCCTTAGGAGCACACCATGGAGAGAAGCAGAACTGAGAGCCCAGTGTGGAGACAGAAGCCAGCCATCGGAGGCAGAAGAGCCCTGAGACATGGAACCAGCTCAGAGCAGAGAGGTGGCCCCTGCCATGCCCCCCGCCCTAGCCCTGCCACACCCTTGGTCGCCATGACTGGTGCGACGTGGAGGAGGCAGCAGGCTGTAGAGACCCTGAGGACTGGCACCAAAGGGGCCGGCGTGATGTTCCGGGCTGATGGAAGGTGGAAGGTGACAACAAGCAGCAGGGAGCCTGGGTACTGGCTCTTGGGGCTCCCCTCACTCCCTTCGGTCGGTTCTGGAGAAGCCTGAGCTGACTCATGACTCTGACTGGCAGGGCCATGCTGTCCTTTTGTGCTCCCTGCAGGGGCACAACCAGGCTGGGTCTGGGCTCTGGCACCCTGGGGGAAAGAGGGCCCTCAGGCCAGGTGAGTGGTGACTCTGAGCAGGACTGAGGGAGACCATGAGAGAGTGGCTAGCCCATCCCCGGGGAGACCACAGAAGCGCACAGCCCGCTCCCCGGGGCCCTGCTTCAGACGCTCGTGTGACAGCCAGGGCCATTCCTCTTGGGGATGAGGAACAGTGAGGGAGGGACGGAGGAAGAGGAAGTGGAGAGGGTGAAGAAGTGGGACAGGTGGAGCGGGGAGCTGTGTCCCCAAAAACATGCCCTGGCCAGCCCAGGCGGACCCTCAGAAAGTGGAGGCTCAACAGAGGGAGTCAAGGCCGGGCCCTGAGTGGAGGGACTCAGGACAAGCACTTGCGATGGCCCAGTGTCCTTCTGCGGAGGAGGGGAGCCTTGCTGTCTGCAGACTGGGGAGTGGACAGGAAAGGGGCGGGGACCAGGGCTGAAGGCCTGGGCTGCGGAGCCCTTGCTCTGTGCGACCATGACAGCCAGACACAGACAGGCGGGGAGTGGGAGGAGAAGGGAGGACAGCAGGTGTGCAGCGAGGTGTGGAGAGAGACTCGGAAGCCAGCGCAGCTCCAGTCTCCTCAGGACAGTGCAGGCTGGAGGGGTGATGTGAGCTGGCCTGGGGACCACAGGGCATGAGTCAGGGTCGCACACCCCTGCTGCTGTTCTGAGTAAAGTTTTCTGTAGCACACACAGCCTTGCCTTCATGCCTGTGTGTGGGCCTTTTTCAGCTGAGTGGCAGTGGCTGCCTGGCCACCAAAGCCCAGAGTCAGCACTTAGCTGGCTGCCATCATGGGTGTCCTCAGATGCCATGGTTCCTCGGGGCCGCAGCTCCCAGCCATGCCAGGCAGGGTCAGTGCAGCCCAAGAGGATCTGGTGGGGACTCACAGTCGCTAACCTGAGTCTGCTGAGATGGCCAGTCACCATCATGGTGTTAACCACCATCAGCTCCCACCTGGCCCAGATGAGCCCACAGTTACCCATAGAGCAGGTGGGAGCGTGGGTCTCCACCCCTGCAGGGGTTTCTCCCTCATTTGTCCCCTCCTTCCCTCCCCAGAGCTGTGGGGTGGGATAGGTGCAGACTGGTTCTTTCCAGGGTTGGGGCCTCCAGTGGAAAGAGGGTTCCTCCTGATTCAGCCTCTCAGATTATGGAGGTTTGGGTATCAGGTCTCCTCTCCCAAGAGGAAGAGTAACTGGAAGCCTCCTGGCTGTTTCCACTCCATGGAGACCTGGGGCAGGGTGAGAGTGTCCTCATGGGAATGAGAAGATGGGGAAGAAGGAAGGTTTTGGGGGACTGGCCCTGCCCTGCTGTGTGCAGGCTCCATGGTGGGCACAGGGTGCCAACTTTTCTGAGCCTGGGCTCTGCAGGGGGTCCTGAACCCCAGGTCAGAGCCACGCAGGCTCTTGGAATGCAGTCCTGGGCCTGCCGAGCTAGAGTTGGAGTCTGCCAGCCTGGGGAGCTGTGTTCCAGTGTCCCAGTGACCTGATGGCAGCTACCCACAGCCCTGGGAAGTCAGCAAAGCGCAGGGGCTACCCATCACCACCACAGGAACTTTATGCTCAGGTCCTGAGTGAGAGGGGACAGGGTGGGTTGGAAGGCAGGGCTGGAGGGCCCTTTGGTCACCATGTCCAACTGGGATGGGTTGTGCTAACATTGTTCCCCACTGAGCAGACGGATGGGGTTGCTTCAGGGAAAGGTGAGGTCCCTGAGCCTGAGTGCGGTGCCCAGAAGCCTTGAACCTGGAGGCTTTTCCACCATGGGCCCAACCCTCCTCCAGCTGTGGTGCCCATCCATGCCTCGGGGCAGTGGGCAATGATCAGAGCCACTCACCCTGGGGCTGCTCCTTCGGGGGCTCGAGCCGAGCTTCCTCACAACGCTGCAAGGGCCTGCGGAGGATGGCCTCGATGGAGAAGGACAGGCCCAGCTTCTTGGGGGCCCCACTGTGCGTGGTGCTATTCTCCATGCCCTGAGGTGAGCAGGGCTTGGGCTCACCGTGTTCTCTGCCCAGGCGAGGCCCGGGTGGCAGGTGCAGAGGTGGGGTGAGGAGCCCCCTGCTGGCGTGTCCGGATGTTGTGCTCTGTCAGGGACTGCATGGACACAGTTCTGGGGCCAGGGGCAGCTACATTCCATGGGCACAGCAGCTCTTCCAGCTACCTGGCACAGAGGGAGCCATCACAGCTGTGGGCCTTAGCGCTCAGAGCAGCTTCCCAGACGAGGCTGGGTCCTCAGCTTCTGACGAGCAGTGAGGAGCGGAGAGGAGAGGCCAGGTGGGGCAGGAGGCTTTGTCACCTCTGCCACCCTTCCCGTGGCCCAGAACCCCTGCAGGTAGTGGGCTCCACGGCTGGCCAGTCTTCGGGGGCGGCCCGGTGCCCTGCCCGGATGTTTCCTCCCCAGCTGTGCCTGCCAAGTTGGGCTGGTGGAGCGGTCGGGGTCTGGTGGAGCGGTGGGGCTGCCTTCCGTCTCCTCGGTCTCCTCTCCCTGCACAGCTCTCTCTGTGCCTGCCCAGCCCCTCTCCCCTTGGGGTCCTGCTGGCTTCTCCCTGTTCTCCTTGGCTGGAGCCAGCAGTCACTGACAGCTCTGCAGTCAGTGTGTAACCTCAAGGGCGGTAAACACTGATAAGGGAGGGCAGGGCAGTGTTGTCTGGGATGGGCCCTAGGGCCCTAGGGGGGCAGTGCTGGTGACTTGGGTCCCTCTCCCTGTGTTCCTAGAGGCTCGCAGATGTCAAGCAGCAAAGGCCTTCCAGGGACCCGGGGCATGCATGGGGAAACAGGCCAGGACCTAGGGGTATAGTGGATAGGAAGGTGAGTTTGGACTCAGACCCTCCCTGGAGCTCCAGGAAGCAATCTGGTCTCCGGCAGGGGGTGGTGACTTGGGGAGGCTCCTCCAGGGGGCTGAGGAGGGGCAGGTGAGGTGGCCCTGAGTGTCAGGTGAGACCTCCCTCAGAAAGGGCTGGGCTCTACTGCAGGGGTGTGTGAGCCCCGTGGCCCAGCAGGTCTTTGTCCATGCCAGTCTGGACACCCTGGGCGTGAATCAGGGACCTTCCACACTCTGAGGCTTGCATCTCCCACCCTGGCTCAGGGATGGGGCGTGGGAAGACTGAGGGTCAGGAGCAAGAGGCACATGTGCTCTGCTCTCGTCGGGATGGAAGGAGCCACATCCCTGCCCGATGCAGGAGGGGACAGTGGTGCTGTCCTCTGTATGGGGGAGATGGCGCCTGGACACTGACCAGTCTAGGGGCTGTGTGGTCAGGGCTGGAGTCCCGGAGATACTAGGCCCGAAGGCTGGAGGTTGGATGGTGCTTCAAGGGGCAGAGGCCGGCGGGTTTTCCATTATGGGGGCAGAAAGGTCCTTGTGGTGCGTGGGTGTCAGGAACAAGGCCAAGGCCAGGTGTGGTGGCCCACACCTCAGACTGCGTCCAGCACCCTATAAGACTGAGGCAGGAGGATCGCTAGTTTAAATCCAACTGGGGCAACTTATTTAGTGAAATGCTGTCTAGAAATAGAAAAATGAGTGAAAAGGGTCTGGTAGCCGTGGCGGGAAAACAGCGCCGTCCCCAGGTGCTGTCCCCGCAGCCCAAGGCCACACAGCCAGCCTGCAGCAGGTGCCCACTGTGGGCACTCTGTTACCACCCATAGGGCACCCAGTCCCCCTCTCAGTTTGCAGATGTACAGCTGGGGACGGAAGGGGAGGTAGGTGAGGGGGTCTCTGTTTCACGTCTGTCCCAGCATCTCTGCCCCACCCGGCTGAGCAGGGCTGTGCTGCTCCCAGCCTCGGCCTCTGCTGTCCCACCCAGGCCCGTGTGAGGCACGGGTGTTTCCTGAGCACCCTGGACACCTGGGCTCTCGGGAAGCAGAGTGGCTCTGCCCTCCTGAGGGATGCACTGTGGGAGCAGCAGAGGGGAGAAGGTGCAGAGGCCAGGGCCAGGGGCTTGGGATTCAGAGTGGGGCAGGTGTGGCTGGCTTGAACTCTAGCCAGAGGCCAGGTGGGAGGTTTTGGGGCCCACCCACCACGGCAGGCATGGTGCAGTGCAGAGGCCCCCTGCTCACCCACCTCGCCCACGCTACCCGTTCTTGTCATAGTGGCCATGGAGCACTGGATCTAAGCGAATGACTGGACCCTCCTTGCCTGTAACTGGGAGGTTGTCCTTGTACCATGGCCTCTGTGAATGTGGGCAGGGTCCCTGGTGTGTGTCAGTGCCCAAGCCTTGTCAACTTCGTGTTGATGGGCAGGGAGTCAATGAAAGCTTCGAGAAGAAGGAGGAGGAGGAGGAACAGGAGGTGGATGAGGAAGGAAGAGGCTGCCACCACCATGAGACCCCTCCGGGCTGTGTAATCCCAGCACACTGGCAGACAAACCACCCGTGATGCAGACACACACCCCTGTGTCACCATCGGCGGTGAGACCCAGACTCGAGGGGATTGTTACATCCAAAAATTATCACAATGAAAGGCACCCTGGTGACCCCAGGCCCTCCCTGGCTGCAGCCCACTGGTCCCACCGTCCCGCTGCTTCCTGCAGCCGTCTCTGAGTCCTGTTTCCCTCATGTCTTTGGTGGTGCTGCCACGGCCACTTCAGGATCCTGAACGGATTCAAAATGTTCCTTTTCATGGTCGCTTTGACTTCTGGTAAGAGCGTGGAGTGGCACGGGGTCAGGCCTGGCGAATTCGGAGATGAGGACACAGTGTGTTGCACGAGCTGCCTTTCTGTGGGGTGGGCGGGGTGGCAGCCGTCACCGTCGTTCGGGTCATTCCTCATGAAGACACCAGTGAGGACTCCAGAGCTGCTCTGTGAGTGACAGTGCGTCTTTCACTGTGGTGGATGCACCCTGTAGTTTTCGGTCCTTCCTGGTAGGATTTTGAGGTGTTGCAGGGCTCGTCGGGGCTGCAGCTGGTGGGTAGCACAGCCAGGCTGGCTCTGCTCCTGTGACCAGGAGGAGGAGTGAGCTACCCACCGGGCGGCAGTGCAGAGCGGGTGCTGCGGCCGGGCCTGTGCTGCCCAGGGCGCCTGCTGCTGCTTCCTCAGGGCGAGGGCTCCAGAGGCAGCGGGAAGGCAGGGTGGCGCCGGTGCTGAGCTGGAGGGCGGCAGGGGGGACTGGCTTTGGGTCGGGGCATCGAGGGCCCAGGCCCCCTGCCCTCTGTGGCTGTTTATTCACCAGTGGATGATGGCCCTGTCTCAAGAAGGAGTCCAGAGCCTTTGTGCATCTCTGGTCCTTTGTAAAAGTTTTTACTTTTGACCGACCAAGCTGCATTTGAACTTGTTTTCCTCCTTCCTCAGCCTCCAGGGTGCAGGGATTAAAGGCTTGGACTGCCATGCCAGCTTGAAAATTTATTTAGTTTAAAATCAAAAAATAAAAATTATAAATATTTATGGCATACAGTGTGATGCTTTGAAATGTGTAAATATCTTGGGGAGGCTAAACTGTGCTTATCCAAGACTTATTGCTTACTCTGGGGGAGGAAAACACTCGAAATGTACCCAGCGATTTTCAGGGACACCCCAGCTTGTTATTGACTACTATCAGGTGTTGCAGAACAGATCTTTTGAACTGTTCCTCCTTTTGGCTGGAAATCAGTGAACTCTGACCCCCACTGGGATCCCTCATTCCACTCTGCTTCGGCCAGCTGGGCGTTGCTTGGTTCCCCACCCGGCTTGTTTCCCTTGATGCTGCTGTGGGTGCATGGGCACTTGAGCTGGCCCCACACCTGGCCACCAGGGGTTTGGCTGCACCATGACTGCTAACATTCATACCAGGCTTGTCCCTTGGTGCTTCTGCAGCTGCTGCAGCTCCAGACTTCACACACTCTTCTGGGGGCTGAAAAGAAAATTCTCCTTCTCTCCCTCTCTTTATTATGTGGGGACCCCCCCAGAGGCTTCTGCAGATCCTGTTGACGTGTCATGCATCCCTTGTCACGTTTGGAGAGCATGTCACTATAGCACTGCTCCTGGCCTTAGGGCCAGCTCTCTCGGTCATTCCGCACCTCCAAGCTTTGGGCGGCAGGCGCCTGGGCTGTGGACAGCCCAGGTGACCCTGTCAGGATGTGTGGCAGATAGTGCAGCCTCTGCTTTGGGAGGAAGGTGGCCGAGAAGGTGGGTGACCATGTGCCCCAAGAGGGGACCCTGACACTGCCTCAGGGTGCTCTCTGTCCCAGGGATGCCCCATCCCATCACAGCTCAAGGTCCCTGAGAAGTTGCCAGGTCCTGGGCCCTGAGAAAGAGGTGGCCACTCCAAGGTCATGGGCAGAAATGCAGGCAGGGTACTCTTGGGGGCCAGCCAGCAGCATGTCTGGTTGGACAGAAGCCATGCAAGATACAAGTGTCCTCATTCACGGTACCCAGGAAAGTGCGAGACCCGGGAGTGTATAGCACCCATCCAGTGGGGGCCACAGTGTGTCCACACTATAGGATGAGGCCAGTGGAATGCTGTTCGGTCATCTGAACAGTGCCTCTGCCCCGCTGTGCTTGCCTCTGACCAGGGTTGTGGCCACTGTGCCTCACTGTGGTACAGCGTTTCAATCTTGGTTAATGCAGCTTTTGTGACTCGGGTTGATAAATAACGTGCAAGCTGACTGTGGTGGTGCCTGTGGTCCCTGCATTGTGGGAGGCTGAGGCAGGAGGAGGAGTTGGAGAGCATGCTGGGAACTTAGCAAGACCCTGAATAAAGATAATAAATAAAGGGGCTGCTGCTGCAGCTCCACGAGATGGTCCTGGCTCCACCTCCAGGGCCCAGGGTGGGGAGGGGGAGAATGACCGAAAGCTGAAACAGAACAAAAGGACGCCGACCACAGCTGTCCTGGCAGGTGGCACCATGTGAGAGGATGTTGGGGGCTGGGCAGTGACGAGTGCCCAGTGCAGCCTTTGGGGGGTGGTGCCATGGATGAGATGGCCGTGTGGCAGGCAGCAGAGCTGTGTGAGGTGAGGTGGGTGGCACATGCTCACGGCAGAGTGGGCCTCTTACTGTGCCGGGGTGAGGTTGGGCTGGGGCTGGCACTCAGGCTCTGGCTGTGTCATCCTCTGCCACCCAGGACCCCTAGGGGCAGCCTGGATGGCACACGTGGCTGGGTTCGGGCCACCCTGGCAGGTGGCTTTCTACAGTGGGGGACAGTATTGTCTCGGGGCAAAGGTCCTCCCTGACCCCCGTCGGCATGGTATGGAGAGAGCGGGTGGCATTTCCCCTACCTTGGGGCCCCCCCACCGACTCTCCCAAGAGGGGCACAGGACAACCCTGGCCTGAGCACTACTCCAGAGGCCAGCTCAGGGCCAGTTCCTCAGGGTGAGGTCTCTGAGGTCCAGGTGACAGGGCTGCGCTGACTGGGCCCCAGCTCCCTGTGCAGCCCCTTCCCCAATTCACTGTCTGCTTGGAGCAACAGAGCCTGGGCTGCATGAGGGGTTGGCACTGGGACACAGGGATCCTTCCCCCATCTACCGCCCTCTGAGTCACCTGGGAGTTTGAAACCACCGCAGCTGGTGTGGGTGGGGCCCAGTCAGTCATGTTTATTTCTAGTTCTAATTCTTAAATTAATTTTAAGGGGCACATTAAAAGATA